GGAGGGTGGAGAGCTAGAGAGGCCCTGGAGGGTGGAGAGCTAGCCTGGAGTCGGCTTCGGCCCCACCCTTGATAAGGACAGCAGACCCTGGCCAGCTCCTCGGTCTCGTAGCCCGCTTTCCCATCTATAAAATGGAGGTGATGATGGACCCTAGATCTTAGGGGAGTCATATATATATGTAAATCAATCAGCACCTAACAGGAAATCACAATTATTACACATTTACTTACATTATCTAGTTTCGTTTTCACAGCACTCTGAGTACGGTGCTGCCGTTACCCCATTTTAGAGAGGAGGAAGGAGCCACCCAAAGATGAAGCTGCACCACCAGGCAGTCTGGCCCTGGCTTTTGCATTCACACCATGGCCTCTGGGTGCCTGACGCCCGGGAAGTAGCCCCTCGCGCACAGAATGACAGCTACACAATTTGACTGACTCACAGGCTAAAGGGCCTGCCCCAGAGTGGAGTCCTGGGCGGGGCCCTGCAGTGCCCCCTGGGGTGGCTGTTCAGGGACAGCCTCGGCTGCTGATTTTTCCTTTCAAATACCAAACTAATAATTGCGGACAAGAAAGCTCAGTTTTTTCATTTTTGTTCATTATTCCTTAAGATGATCAGATAGCAAAGTTAGCAAGAGTAAGTAGGTTAAAAGCATAGACAAAGATCAAGTACTTTCTCTCTATTGGCTCTGAATGTGTAAGTACAAGAGACATGACCACAGATTTGGGAAACAACTTTTTTGCGTGTTCAAATACATTTTTCCTTATTTCCTGCAGTGTTGCATTTGAGGTCAATGTTATTCCACTCTTTTTTCCTCCTCAGACTCCCTCAGCCTTGGTACTTCTTCTAAGGAGGTGCCCACTGTCTTCTAATGCTCTGCTCTTGGTGTCTTCAAACCAGAGATTAATTTTGAGTCTTGTCAGAAGTGGTGCACAGGATGTTTTGTTGTGGATTGGCCAAAATAAAAGGCCTCTTACCTACAGAATTTAATTCCAACCACAAAAGGCAAAGCTCTTGGAACAAAGTATAAGTAGTAATATTTAATAGCAAGCCTACTTTTCAGGTACTGATTTGCAGCATCCTTGATTGAACACTTTATTTATTTATATTTTTTTCTTTATTGATTTTTTTTTTTTTAGTACGTGCCCCTAGTGGGAACCAAACCTGGGACTCTGGTCCGCAGGTCAACGCTCCAACTGCTGAGCCACACTGGCCAGGGCTCCTTTATTGATTTTAAAAAGAGAGGAAGTGAGAGGGAAAGACAGAAACATCGATGAGAGAGAACATCTGTTGGCGGCCCCCTGCATGCCCCCACTGGGGATCGGGCCCACAACCTGGGCATGTGTCCTGACCGGGAATCAAACTGGCGACCTCTTGGTGCAGGGACGACGCTCAACCACTGAGCCACATTGGCTGGACTCAATTGAACATTTTATAATGGGGTGATTTAGTGATTACAGTAGTGGTCTCGTTTTTGCCTAATGAAATACACATACCTTTGCTATCTGAAAATTCTGAGTAAAATGTCTGGCACATTGTTATGAAGTACCATTTCATGAGGTTAATCGCGATATTCTAATGCTCTGCTTCTCCCTGAAACGTGGAGCTCAGAACGATCCGCAGTGCATGGGGGGGGGGGGGGGCACAGGCTTCGGGTGCAGGGCACCAGGATGCAGTCTCAGCTCTGCCACTGAGGAAGTGTGTCGCTTGGAACAAGTCCCCTTGGTCTCCTTGTTTGTGGTGTGAGGATAGCAATGCTTCCTCTGTTAGTCCTCATAAAGGTAAATATATGAAAAGGCATGTAGCACAGTCCCTGTCAACCAGTGAGCTTAGTAAATGGTGGCTGTCTTTTTTTAGACCGACTGTCATGAGACCATCTTTCATGGACTGTAACAATCCCCCCTCTGGCCGTAGGTAGTGAGAACATCGTCACCTGGATTCGAGCTTGGCTCTTTTTCTTTGTTTCTCCCCCATCACCATCAATCAGGGACATGTGTTCTCACCTGAGTCATCAGATCCATCCCTTTGATGGCACCTGACATCTTCCTCATGTGATTTCACGCGGTCCCATGTTCATGTCCTCATGTTCCTCCCTCTTGATGCACAGGTTGCCTCTGGGCAGAGACGGCCTCACTGCCATCTGGCTGCGTCCTAGGGGTTCAGTCAGTGCCTCATCAGGGGGTTACCCGTTCACTCTACCCCACATAGTACCGTTCTCCGAGCCAGAATACTCCTGACCTTGAGTCGGCGGCCAGCTTTTTGCAGCCATACACCAGCCTTCAGTTAACCTTTCTGAGCTGTTTCTCAACTCTAAGATGAGTATGAAAATCATACATGTTAATGCATGTGTTACATAAAAGGGCACAGAAGGTGCCTGGTCCGTGGTTACGCTGCTAATATTCTCTGCATTTATTAATGAAACTCAGATGTTGAGGTGAAAATAATATCTTACAGATGGATATCTTCTTGTAACACAGGGTTTATCCAGATGAAAATTGAGCAGCTCAGGTCTGTGATGATGTCCTAATTGCTTGGCCTTCTGCTAGATACAGCAATTTTATAATTATCTGGCTCATGATGAAAGAAATTTAATAGAAAAACTGTATAAGAGGAAAACTATTAGAACTTCTAATTAGTCACAGCCTTATATTCATCTTAATATTGAGAAAAAAGATTTATGACTCCTTAGTTTCATTTATCTTAATTAAAAGACAAATAATATGTTATCTGGGTAGCTGATGGTGGTCAGTACAGTGTGCACATGCAGGGTGTGTGTGTGTGTGTGTGTGTGTGTGTGTAACTGGCTGTCTGCTACTTTAATGGCGTTACTGGTGGTGCCTGGAAATCCAGAGGGCTCTGGTTTGACATCCTTGGATGAAGAAGCAAATCGGAAAGACTAGGGAGTGTGTCCCGCCATGGCTAACATGCTGCGCTCTGCTGTATTTCTGCTGCATGTAGCCGTGGGGGTGGCAGGCAGGCTGGTTTCTGGGCATGCATGGCATTAGCTTGGATATTACAATTGAACACTTTGCAGGAAAAAAATAATAAGTTGTTAACGTGGAAGCATGTTTTTAATGACTTGACATGGGCTGTGACCTTTAAAACACTGTAGCTTGTACCTTGCAGAGTAAAATAGCTGTAAAGTCGACATGTTTTTTCTTATTTTGAACTAGAGTCCACGTGCTCAATCATGGCACCATACCTTTATCAGGAATCCAATTCTAAACTGTCATTATGGAATAAATGCTGTCCTCAACCTGCACACTGTTAACGGTGACACTGTGCCCTTGGAAACAGGATTACGTCTTTCATTTAAAAATGAATAGGAGAGAAATGCTGCAGTTTGTATCCCGGAGTGTTTATGGGGGTAGTCGTGTCCTGTCCGACTTATTGTACCTCTTGTCTGAAGATGAGTTTATTCTTGGGTTAATCTTTTAGAAACTCTCCAATTTTGTGCGTAGTTACCCCCTTTTCAACCTAAGATCATTTCTTTGCCATTTGATCATTATTTTAGAATTTGTGGACTTCTGAACATTTTAAGTGAACTGATCAGATAATTTTGGAAAATTTGTTTTCATCTGTGCATTCTGCTAAATATTCCAGGGAAACATCTTGGCTCTGCTGAATTGGTTAATGCTGGTTACATCATTACGAGCTATCGATTTCTTGGGCGTGCAAAATGATTGCATATTCATGAACATCTTCAATCCAGAAATATTTGTAAATAACTTGGCAATTTTTTTATAAGGTGGACTATTAAAATGATTAGGTCTTTAATTGTTTGCACAGAAAGAATGTGTGCTTACAGAGCACCAGCTATTTGATAAGTAACATTTCTGTGCTAAGCAATTTGGATTATGAACATACAAATCACCTTCCTTAAACGAAATAAGAGAGATGCTATTTTCCGCTTAAGAATGATTCAAGTTTGAAAATGTCAATAGATGCAAAGAGCCACCCTAGAGCTTTGCTCTCTCGAAAGAAAGTGGAGAAGGAATGACATAATCAATGTTAACTGTCACCAGATGAAGAGAAATCAGATTGTCAGGCCTGGATCTATAACATTCTTGCCAAAGTAGGACCTCATTTACACTTACAGATCTTCATACCCTTTGCTAAGAAAAGCATCTGTGGCAGTTTAGATGTTTGTGCGTTTGCCAAAGATCTTTCACTCTGAATAAAGTAAATGTCATGTCTGTTGTTTATCTCAAATTCAGTGGAGTATTTTTTTAAAGGAAATATTTGTGGGGGAGGGGAGGGGTTGGGGAGCCCCAGGCAGTGGGGCGGGGCAGTTTGAAGGCAGTACAGGAGCATCAGATAGGATCTGGATAAAGCGGAGTAAAGCATCCCTGGGGCTCATGGACTGAGAACGTCCTCGTGAAGTGACAGCCCTGTAATAATTGGAACGTGGAGTCTTCCTGACTCTATACCTAGTCTGTCAACACCAAAAAATCCAGTCAAGTCAGCCAAAGTGATTATTTGGCATCACGCAGACACAGCTGTCTTGAGCTAAAATTTTGAACACTTAAACATAGATGGCGTTGCACCCGAAGGCAGCCTGTACCACGGCGTGTATCTGGAATTGTAATGATCGCTTAGGCTTCAGGGATCAGGATATAGAACTTGATTGCTCCAACTTCAAACTGGGCCCCATTGAATAGCAATTAAAAAAAAATCTAGGTACCCTTGATAAGATCAGACTTTTAGTTAAGAGTATGATGTGGTAATTTAACTATGTAAATTGCCTTGACTATAGAAACAGAGGTACTTTTGTATGATGTATCTTTCTTAGAAACCATATTTAACCGAGCTCATAAGCATTCAAAGTCATGAAATCCTCATGTAAAATAAATCCTGGTGCTTGTCTCGAGGACATCTATCTCAGGTGATACAGTTACATCTTTGCTTCCGGAAATCAGACATGTGTCTCCTGTGACCCCTTATCAGTGTGTCCGTTCAGTGGCGTAGACGCTGTGACTCTGAATGTCCTTTTGTTCCCCCAGATGACATGGAGGCCATCCCCGTCAAGCAGTTTCTGAAACACATCGGGGAGCTCTATTCTAACAACCAGCATGGCTTCTCTGAGGATTTCGAGGTAGGTTTCAAAATGCAATTTCCAGAGACTTAACTCTTGTCTTACAGGGATTTTTGCAAACTTGAAATGAACTTCCAGCATAACAATGAGGAAAGCAGATATTTTTCTTTGCCTTTTCCCTTGACACGTACGATTTTAACAGCATTCTTCTCCAGGGGACAGTCAGGTGGCGCACATCCTGATCGTGCACGTCTGAAAGAGCAGGCTCAGGGGAGAGGCAGGCGGCTGGGTCTTCGCTGTCGTTCTCCCTGGGCGGAGGCCGTAGGAGGACAGGGCTCCTGCCCCGCGTGTCCTGGGCACAGCTGTGGCGGAGACGGCAGACCCCTGGTCTGGGGAGCGTGATGCTGACTCCGCCCGTCGTGAGCTCGGTCTCCTTGGGCCAGTCGCTTCATCCCGATCCCCGTGTTCTCATTTCCGAAGTGGCGCCAATATCACCTACGTCCTAAAGTTGTTGGAAGGAAGGAATGATTGGGGTCACGGCGGAGCCCGTGCAAAGGTTGATTGTCGTCGTCGCGACTGTTAATCCTTGGCGAGGAGGCAGGCGAGCACAGCCTTCTGGTCGGAAGGGCTGGTGTGTAGGAAACAAGGTGGAGAGCAGCAGCCTGCCAGCCGGGTCCCTGCCAGCTCAGCGGTGACAGGGTGTCGATGAGGAGCTATTAAACAGACTGCCCTTTTCTGCACGGAGGCGCCGCACCAGGCACATCCCTGGCAGCGGGAGCGGTGCCGAGGAGGCCAAGTTTTCATGGCAGCTCAGCTGTCTTCTGGCTTTCTGGGTACGTCGGTTCCTTCCTCTGTCTCGTTTCTACTTGGAAATGGAAACGACGACGATGATGCTAACCTGCCCACCTCTTTGCACAACGTGGGTTGTGAGGCTCAAGTGAAGTGACGGCAGGAAGCACTTCGAGCTTCTCTGGAGCCATCGCGCTGGGAGGTGCGGCTCTTTGCATGGAGGAGGAGTGGACCAAAAGCCCCTGTCTCTGCAACTTCAGTCCCCAAAGGCCACCACAAAGGCAGTTATATTGACAACTCGCTTTAACAAAGCCTCTCTCTTGGGTTTTTGTTTGGTTTGGTTTTTGAACAGAATGGAAGCAAAGGTGGTAGAGCGAAGGGACCCACTGGTTTACCCTGCACAGTCACATGTGTGATGGGACAGATGAACACATGCCAAGTATGCAGCGTGCCTAATGCTTACCAAGAAAGGTGCCCGTGCAGCCGCGGAGACATGATTTAAAGTCACACATTCTGCATGCATGAGGGCTGCGCAGTGCTAACGTGGTTCAGTTCAGGCACTGCTGGCGGATGACTGAGCAAGAATACTGCGGCATTAAACAATGTTGATGGTGTTCAGGACAAACATCTATCCTCCGGAGAACAGAATTTGATCAGGGTGATCAAATGCAACTTCAGTTTCTCAATTATTTATGATTTGAGACCCCAGTGCTATTCATCACAGCTGGTTTCGACCCCATTTAATTATTCAAAATAATCAGCTACACCCCTGTAAACTTGATTGGACTTAAAATGGGCTTTGCTTCACCAAAATCATGCTTGTTATCCAATCCTGGGCATCTGCACCCTATTTCTATCCTAAAATAATACTCTGGCCAGAAGCTGTTGTAGCCTGTATTGAACTTGAGAGCTTAAATCTTATTAGCGGGTGGTTGGGGAGGGAAGAGGGGAGGGAGGTGGTGTTATATTGGTGTCATTGCACAATCTGTCTGGTTTGAAAGGGTGGAAGTAGGAGCTGTTCAGAGTAGGAAGAATGTCCTTCCGTCTGCAAAGAACAGTATGGCAGCAGCATGAAGGGGGATGAGACACAGTATCGGAGCTCACTGATACCCTATCAGCCTCTAATTTAGGGAAAATGCAAAGTATTTAAAAACAGTAACATTATTGCTTTTGGGTGGCTCTGCTAAAAAGGAAAACTGGTAATAGGCTATATAAAAAGTATTAAGGCTGTTTTATAAACAGGAAATAGTAACAGGGCTATAAAAGGGAGTTCAGGAAAAGAGATCTTGTGTGATTTTAAAAATCACAAGACAAAACCCTCACTATGGGGAGAAAGTTGTAACCCCCCCGCCCCCCACGCCAGAGTCCAGATCTCTTCGCGTGGGATGTTGATGGTCAGCAGGTGCTTGGCTCCGCAGGACCACCCAGGAGGGGTGCTGGTTTATTGTCCCCATTCTACAGATGAGGAAACTCGACCCGAGAGAAAACAAAGGCTTTGGATGGCTCCATTTTGAAATGACAGAAGGAGGTGTTAAGACAGGGCTTTCCGAAGTGAACCCACATTTAACCTTGGTGCCCTCAGGCTTGCATGAGAACCAAGACCACCAGTGATCACCTGAGCTGAGCGTGCACGGACAGGCCAGCACTGGCCATGGCGGTGGAAAGCAGGGGAGGGGATGCAGCCAAAACCGAGGCACCCCCGCCAAGAACACGGGGAGCACATCATGTGACCTTTTGGTCTTGAGCCTTCCCAAAGCTCTGAGAATCTGACTTATAAACATCTTATGTAACAGCTCAGTAAAGCCCTAACAGTAATTAAAGAACTAATCTTCAGATTATAGAAAAATACCACTTAACAGTGGATATTGGGCCATTAGAAGGAAATAAAGCAACTCATCTAACAGTTATGAGTACCTGATATTCTCTGCCGTAATATAAAGCACAAGACAGACCAACCCTGCCCTCAAGTTCCGCCTGCTGGGGCGGAGGCCGGAGTGTCCACCAGCGACGTGGACAGAGGGCACAGCGAAGTGAGTGCCGACACAGACACCGCGTCCTGGCGAGTGCGGAGAAGGGCCGCTATGAATTGTGATTGAGTCTTTCCCCAAGTGTCCTGTTTGCTCCGTCTTGTTTAAAACTCACGGGTGGAAGTGAAAACAAACTGTGGTGACTGGCTGCTTTGTTCTCATGTCATTGCTGCTTGGAGGAGGGAGAAGACGGGCCCACTGGTATTTTGGTGATGCTGAAAGTGAGCTTTTTGTCCTTGTCAGATAAATTTTGGAGACTGTTAAAAGCTGGCGACATTGTTCTGCTAGCAGATTTTGCAGTCACTGGAAATAACATCAATCATTGTCTCAGGATGGCGTTCAATGACTCTGTTCCCTTGGCTACCTGAGCTGACTTCAACCTCAATCTTCCCCAGCCTCCAACATCATAATCCAGGAGGCTTCCAGAGGCACAGCGCCAGCACAGCTCAGAAAGGCGAGCTCGAGGCTCGGGGGTCGACAGAATTAACAGGCAGGGGTCGGGAGCATCACAGGTGTAAAGACCAAGTGCAGAGATGGGGCTGGACAGCCAATACCCCTTGACAAGGTCCTTGGGGGCATTGCCTCCATTCCAATTACCTCCAGCTGAGCTAAATGGGGGCCAGTTGCTCATCTATCAAGAGAACAAAGCTGTGTCCACCTGAGCCCATGCGCCAGGGGACCAGTGGCCACAGTTGCTTCGTATAAGATGCAGAGTCTGTGTTGCCCGTGCCCCTTCACGGAAACAGAGGTGTGATGCTGCATGCAGATGGCCACCTGCAAGGTGGCAGGAAATGACCCTGTGCAGTTTCCTGAGCCTCCGTGACAAAATGCCAGTTTGGATCTTAAATGTCTTGCAGAAAGACATTTTTAAACCCTTATGAATAAAATCATGGTTGATTAAGTTGAGGTTTTTATGAAGAGGGAGACGAAAGTGGGTTGACCAAATTCCTCAATTGCATAGAAAAGATCACTTCATTTTATAGACTTTCTATAGGGTAATAGGCACTGTGGTGACACTCCCATGTGGACCGGCTTTCGGGGGCGGTAGGGCGATGGTTTTCCATAAAGACATCTGGATTGGGGGGCAGGCATTCAGAGCTAGGTAAATAGCAGGGGAGCAAAATGCAGAAAATGGTGTCTTTGCAAAGGGCACAGTTAAAACTGTCCAGGACTGGGAAGGGGGTTGGTGGAAGATAGGATGGGAACCTGAAAGGCTGGCTAGGAATTTGGAATCTATCCCAAGGTTTCTGAGAAAGAGGAGAAGAGTATCAGAGCAGTGTTTGAAGAAGCTCGGCCTGGCAGCGGTTTGCAGCCTGCCGGGGCCCAGGCGGGAGATGCAGCAGTTTGCAGGCTGCCCGGGCCCAGGCGGGAGATGCAGCAGTTTGCAGGCTGCCCGGGCCCAGGCGGGAGATGCAGCAGTTTGCAGCCTGCCCGGGCCCAGGCGGGAGATGCAGCAGTTTGCAGGCTGCCCGGGCCCAGGCGGGAGATGCAGCGGTTTGCAGGCTGCCCGGCCCAGGCAGGGGATGCAGCGGTTTGCAGCCTGCCGGGGCCCAGGTGGGAGATGCAGCGGTTTGCAGCCTGCCGGGGCCCAGGCGGGAGATGCAGCGGTTTGCAGCCTGCCGGGGCCCAGGCGGGAGATGCAGCGGTTTGCAGCCTGCCCGGGCCCAGGCGGGAGATGCAGCAGTTTGCAGGCTGCCGGGGCCCAGGCGGGAGATGCAGCAGTTTGCAGTCTGCCCGGGCCCAGGCGGGAGATGCAGCAGTTTGCAGGCTGCCCGGGCCCAGGCGGGGAGATGCAGCAGTTTGCAGCCTGCCCGGGCCCAAGGCGGGAGATGCAGCAGTTTGCAGGCTGCCCGGGCCCAGGCAGGGAGATGCAGCAGTTTGCAGGCTGCCCGGGCCCAGGCGGGGAGATGCAGCAGTTTGCAGGCTGCCCGGGCCCAGGCGGGAGATGCAGCAGTTTGCAGGCTGCCCGGGCCCAGGCGGGAGATGCAGCAGTTTGCAGCCTGCCGGGGCCCAGGCGAGAGATGCAGCAGTTTGCAGGCTGCCCGGGCCCAGGCGGGGAGATGCAGCAGTTTGCAGGCTGCCCGGGCCCAGGCGGGGAGATGCAGCAGTTTGCAGCCTGCCCGGGCCCAGGCGGGAGATGCAGCAGTTTGCAGGCTGCCCGGGCCCAGGCGGGGCGATGCAGCAGTTTGCAGGCTGCCCGGGCCCAGGCGGGGAGATGCAGCAGTTTGCAGCCTGCCCGGGCCCAGGCGGGAGATGCAGCAGTTTGCAGGCTGCCCGGGCCCAGGCGGGGAGATGCAGCAGTTTGCAGCCTGCCCGGCCCAGGCGGGAGATGCAGCAGTTTGCAGGCTGCCCGGGCCCAGGCGGGAGATGCAGCTGCCAGCATCTGCTGATTCAGGCTCTGGGAATACGGCATGTTCTCCGTCTGACACTTGGTTACCAGGTCCAAGATATTTTCTTCTCGGCTTGCTTGTGAAGCTGAGTAATCCGAAAGATTTCTAGGTTCATTTTGTTTGATAACTTGTCAAATGGAGCCACAGAACGGCAGGACAGTGCGTCTCCAGGCGCCCTTGCGGTAGTCTCTGCACGTCGACTCTGGGCGGAAGGTGATCTGGCCTGTTTCATCTCCCAAGAGTCTTGAGGATACTACTCTTAGTGGTTTTGTTTGTTTGTAGAGTTTTACTGTATTTTAAATTTGTTCAGTTAGCTGTCTTCTGTGGCCGTGTGCCTCCTGATACTAAGAATGTCCATTTTGAGAATCCCAGCTTTGTTAGAGAGACAGTAAAATACAAATAAGCTTAAATCTTAAGCTATTTGTCAGAGTGCTAAACAGGTAACTTGACTGTGCACACCGCAGCGGCCACCGTCACTTCGAAGGCTTTAACACCTATTAAACCACATTGACTTTGAAATGCCAGTTCTGAGGGAGAGAAGCCACTCCGGGCTCAGATGACATTATCAGCATGTGAGCCAGGCAGTCCTGCAGGGAGTCACCGGTGACATTCCATCAGCAAGCCACAGTCGGAGGGCCGCAGGCAGACCCCTTGGTTTCTAATAAAATCAGATTCAACTTTATTTATGACTATTCCCTGTTTTCTGCCATTCGCATAATTGGAAAAGTGAAATAGAGGCTAGGGACCGGACCAAGGGTTTTAGACAACAAAGTGTCCCATCGGCCACATTGAATGACGGCTTTAAACTGCACACAGCTGCTCCCAAGCAGTCTTGGTCAGTTGTATGACATATTATAATAGAGGCTCAAGCGCAGTTCAGAGCGAGGGTGGTCAGATGACCACAGAATTGCAAACTAGATGCTGGAATCTCAGCACAAGATACTTCAGTAACTCAGTCCTGAAGTGGTACATGCCAAGGCTACATGTGATCTTCAGAACCCGGAATGAGGGATGTCAACTGATTTCAGGGATTTGTACATAGATTGAATTAATGTGTTCCGGAACATAAATCCATTTTCAAAGGGTTTCTGCCCGGGTACCATTCAAAGGGGTACCCGAGGCTCTGAAGGCGAGTGTGGAAGGGCGGGTCCCCAGTGCTCCGGCATGGCTAGCATTGCTTGTGTTCGGGATCTCAGGCTCATTGCTTGGTGCCCAGCACTTGATCTCATTGGAGGGAAAGAGCCAAAGGCGGCCTTAGGCCCCTTTATACCAGCATTTTCCAAACCATAGGTGGTAAACCATTAGAATAGAAAATACCAGAGTTGATCACATTTTGTAAGAGTAAGAAAAAGGTAAGAATTGTCATGAAACACACACTTTCCCCAGAGATGTGTATTGAATGAATGCCTGTGGGCCTTTTCTTTCTTCTTTTTTAATGGACAACTGAGAAGGCCTGCAATTATGAAAAATTCAATCTACGCATCCAAGAACCAGGAGCCCATGAATGTGTTTTTTTGTTTTTTTTTTACTAGATAGCACCCCTTTGTTTTTATACCTGAGATGCTTTGATTAAACTGAGTTCCTCCTTGGAGTGGAGAGAGGACTCCTCACTGGGAAGTCGTCTTTGAATGTGAAAGACGGCCGGTTCCTTGTGTTCATTATGCCTGATGTAGCGCTGTGGAAAACAGTCATAATTGCTCTGTATCTCTGAAAAAGTCTGCATGCTCCTGAACTCTGTTACATCTGCTACGTGTAAACTTTTCTCCTGATTATTTTTGTCACTTGTTCCTGCTCTGTGGAGCAGCTGTGCGCTGCTAATGACCTCCCTTATTAGTTAGCTCCAGTACTTTCTTGGGTTTGAAACATGCAGTGTAGAAAAATTTGACTTTTCAGCAACCTTGTTTAAGACTAATGGATGATGTTTGTATCCATGGTAAAGGTAGCCAATGAGAATTGCTTCTTCTGCTATTTTTCTAAAGAAGGGTAATTTAAATAAAATTAGAGTTCACAAATAATTCATCAAAGACATCTATTTGAGCCAGGTACGACAATCGATTGGGCTACATATTAGTGTCATTTCAGGACTGAGTCTTTAGAGTCGATTTGCAATCTGATGGTTATAAAAGGGGGCTGTATAGCCCGGCTGGGTAGCTCAGTTGGTTAGAGCATTGTCCCAATACCCTCAGGTAATGAGTGTGATCCCTTTTCAGGGCACATATAAGAAGCAACCAATAAATGCATAAAGAAGTGGAACAACAAATCAATGTTTCTCAAATCAATAAATAAAAATGTTTGTAAAAACAAGGCTATATAACTGATCAGCATATTGCAACTCATGGTGGAGATTATATGCCTGCCTAGAAAAGTCTGGCTCATCTGTAGGATTCATGAATGATCTCTGCAGCCTTCCTCTGTGCTGAGATCTAGTTTCTTCAGGCCTCTTTTTAAATGTGTTTTTATTGATTTTTTAGAGAAAGAGGAAGGGAGAGGGAGAGATAGAAACATCCGTGTGTGAGAGAAACATCCATCGGCTGCCTCCTGCACGCCCCCTACTGGGGATCGAGCCCACAACCCAGGCATGTGCCCTGACTGGGGATTGAACTGGGACCTCTCTGTCCATGGGACAACGCTCAATCCACTGAGCGACAGTGGCTGGGCACCTCTTTTCTGTTAATCATGTTTGACTGTCATTATCTTTTTGCATGTTTTCCTAACCCATTAGACTGTGACATATCTAAAAAAGAGGTACTGTTCTGTAATCCCCATGCCTAGGTCCAGATCTGTAATAAAGTAGATGGTTGATGAATTAGTAAAGAATGAAATCCCTTCATCTTGCTCCTGCCCTTCCTACGTTTGCTATGAGTGTGTCATGGTAATTACTTCTGAAGCTGAGTTTGGGGAAGTAACAGTGGTAGTGGCCAGGGAGTGAGCGAATCCTTGATGCTTGTTGTTCAACATCTCGAGTGTGTCGGAAGTCTCTGAAATAGTGTGTTTTCTTCTCTAGGAAGTCCAGCGCTGTACGGCTGACATGAACATCACCGCAGAACATTCCAATCATCCAGATAACAAGCACAAAAACAGATACATCAACATTTTAGCATGTGAGTAATAAACCTGAAGCTGTCTTCAACTGTGAGGAAATTAACTCTTCGTGCTGGGGTATACGCTGAAAGCCAAGCAGTCGGATCACAGTGCCAGCAGAGCACTCCCCTGCAGGTCGCCTGGCACTGGCCTGTCCTCCACAGTGCACAGGAAGAAATGGGGACGTTTTCTGCCCCCTTAGTCTTCATTAAGTTGTTGGGTCTCTTTCATTAAGCTTAATAATAAGATGACTGAAAGAAAATGTTCTGAGTTTCACTGTTTTCACATGATATGATTCCATACCCAATGCTGGGAACCAACATTTTAATGTCAGATGGCTATCTTGACATTTATTTTTAACCAGTGAGAGCCAAGTCTTTTAATACAAATAGAAATTCTAAAGTTGAATCAAGGCTTGGTGGTTAAGCATCAACCTGTGCACCTAGAGGTCATCGGTTCGATTCCCGGTCAGGGCACATGCCCAGGTGGTGGACCAAATCCCCAGTAAGGAGTGTGCAGGAGGCGGCCAGTCGATGTTCTCTCTCATCAGTGTTTCTCTCTCTCCCTCCCTCTCCCTTCCTCTCTCTCTAAAATCAATAAAGAAAAATATTTAAGCCCTGGTTGGTTTGGCTCAGCAGTTAGAGCGTCGGCCTGCAGACCAGAGAGTCCCAGGTTCGGTTCCTGCTAAGGTCATGACCTGCTAAGGTCATGTACCTCAGTTGCAGTTTGTCCCCGGCCCTGGTTGGGGTCATGAAGGTGGCAACCACTTGAAGTGTCTCTTTCATGCTGATGTTTCTCTCTCTCTCTCTCCTCCTCTCTTCCTCCTGTTCTATTTGAAGATAAATGCAAAAATGTCCTCAGGTAAGGATTAAAAAAGCTAAAAAAAAAAAAAAAAAATTGTTAAATAATAAAGTTGAATCAAATAAGCTGAATTTCAAAGCCATCTTTCTAAGACTAGGTAATTGGACTCCACCTGAAGTGATGAACCTCCAGTTCTGTGGCCCACCTGCTTAGTCCTATTCAAGTTATTTCCAGGGCCAAGAGCGTCCTGGAGAGTCCGCACTCAAAGCAGTAACTGTCATTCTCACGGAGCCTCGGGGAGCACCCTGGGAGCAAGGCCGCTGTGGCGGGACAGCCGCCTCTCAGAGGCCGGTGCTGGCTGAGCGGCAGGTGAAGGTGCTTTGACACCACGGGCAGGGGCACAGCCGTTCATGGTCACCATACATGATGGGGAGGAGCACGGTGCATAGAATTTTGTGTAACAGTGCATTTAAGTCGGACCTCTTAAATTTGAACACTACTGTATATAGTCTTTAATGATACTTGTGTGAGATATAATTCACATGTAAATTCACTTAAAGCTACTTTACATTTCATTGCTTTTTCGAATAGTCAGAGTTGTACAACCATCACCACTATCTAGTTACAGAACATTCTTAGCACCCCAACAAGAAACCCCCATTACCCAGTCATTTCCAATGCATCCCTTTACCCCAAACTCCCTAGAAACCACTTACCTACTTTCTGTCACTCTAGATTTGCCTATTTTGATATGTTATATAAATGAAATCATATAATATGTGGCCTTTTGTGTCTGGCAGCTTCTACTTAGCATGTTTCAAGATTTATCCAGGTTGTAGCTTGTGTCAGTATTTAATTCCTTCTTAAAGCTGAATAATATTCTATGGTGTGGATATACCACATTTTGTTTACTCATTTATTATTTGATGGCCATTTAAATTATTTCAACTTTTTTATTGTGGCTAATGCTGCTGTTAACATTTGCATATATGGTTTTGTGTAGATATATATTTTTAATTCTCTTGGGATTATATTTAGGAATGCAATAGCTAGGTCATATGGTAAGTGTATGTTTAACATTTTCAAGAACTCCCAAACTGTTTTCCAAAGTGGCCGTGCCATTTTACATTCCCACCAGCGATATATTAGGGTTCTAGTGTCTCCACATCCTCATCAACACCTGTTACTTTGTTTTTTTGATGAGAGCCATCCTGATGGATGTGAAGTGGTATCGCACTGTGGTTTTGATTTCCACTTCCCTAGTGATTAGCGATGTTGAACATCTTTTCAGGTACATATTGGCTATTTGTATATCTTCTTTGGAGAAATACCCGTTCGCATTCTGTGCCCAGTTCTAGAGTGGATTACTTGTCCTTTTTTCCTAGTTTGAGTTCTTTATACGTTCTGGATACAAATTCCTGATCAGATAGGTAGTTTGCATATATTTCATCTCATTCTGTGCATTGCCTTTTCACTTTCTTAGCGGTGTCCTCCTTTGATGTACATACTTTTTAACTTTGGCGAAATTGAGTGCATCTGTTTTTTATTTTGTCACTTATGAATTTGGTGTCATAACTAAGAAACTACTGCCTAATCCAAGATCATGAATATTTACCACCTATGTTTTTGTGAAGGAAGTTTATGGTTTTAGCTTTTACATTTATGTCTTTGATCAATTTTGAATTAATTTTTGTATATGGTGTGTGGTAGGGGTCAGCTTCATTCTTGGCATATTGATATCCAGTTGTCCCAGTACCGTTTGTTGAAAAGACTCTTTCCTGCCCAGCCAGTATGGCTCAGTGGTTGAGCATCATCCCATGCACCAAGAGGTCACCGGTGTGATTCTGAGGCAGCCAATAAATGGTTCTCTCTCACATTGATATTTCTCTGTCTCCTTCTCTCTCCTCTCTCTCTCAAAATCAATAAAGAATATATATTTTTTAAAAAGACTCTTTTGCCCTGGCCAGTTGGGCTCAGCGGTTAGAGCGTCAGCCCACATACCAGAGTCCCAGGTTCAGTTCCTGCTAAGGGCACGTGCCTCGGTTGCAGTTTGTCTCTGGCCCTGGTTAGGGTCGTGTGGGTGGCAGCCACTCCATGTGTCTCTCGCATCAATGTTTCTCTATCTTCCTCTCTCTCTCCCTCCCACTCTATCTGAAGATAAATGCAAAAAGTGTCCTTGGGTGAGAATAAATAATAATAATAATAATAATAAAATAAAAAATACAACTCTTTCTCCAATCAAATTGTCTTAGGACCCTTAATGAAAATTAACTGACCGTAGGTGTAAGGGTTTATTTCTGGACTCTAAATTCTATTCCATTAATATCTAGCCTTATGTCAGTACTACACTGTCTTGATTACTGACTATTACTTTGTAATAAGCTTTGAAATTGGAACCCTGAATCCTCCAACTTCTTCTTTTTCAATTTTTTTTTTTTTTTTTGGCTCATCTGGGTCCCTAGTGTTTCCATATGAATTTTAGGATCAACTTGTTTATTACTGTAAAAAAAAAAAAAAAAAGCGTAGTTGGGATTTTGATATGGGTTGCATCGAATCTGTAGATTAATTTGAAGTGTTGCCATCGTAACAATATTAAGTCTTTCAGTTCATGAAGATGGGATGTCTTTCCATTTACTTAGGTCATCTTTTCTTACTTCAACAATATTTTAGTCTGCATTTTACAAGTACTGCTCTTTTGTTCATTTTATTCTTTTTAATGCTATTGTAAAGGGACTGTCTGCTTAATTTTATGTGTATTGTTCACTGGTTATAGAAATACAATTGATTTTCGTGTATTGATCTTGTGTCTTACAACCCTGAATGGACTCATTTATTAGTTTTAATAGTTATTTTTTGTGGATTCCTTACAGTTTCTAAATACAAGATTGTGTCTATGAATATAGTTTCACTTCTTCCTCTAGATAAAGTTTTAAAAGAACTACAAGTCATTTTTGCAAAAGAGTATTTATTTTAGTTACCTGAGAGAATGAGGAGGTAAAAAAGAGAACAAGGAAGAAGACTCAACTTTTCTCTCAAGTCTTTGAGGGAATTACCTCACAGTGTTTGTTGGCCAGTCCGTCAAGGCTCACTTTGCCGAGATGGTGAGGATTTGTATAGCTCAATTCTAACCACGTGACCCAGGCAGGGATATGTACATGTATGTGTCTTGTATCTGTCCACACAGACCACTCTCTCCACCACAGCAGTCTTGACTTCCAGTGACCTTACTGCCTTGGCTAAACATATGTGGCAAAGCAGAGGGTGGAAATCAAAGCAACTTCTGTTGATGGGACCAAGATGTCATGGTATTTTGCTGGAAAACTACCATCTCCAGCTAGATGTGGTTATACTTCACAAATTCAAATCACATGTGGCTCAGAGTTGGGATTTGGTGTTCTCTTGGCCACGTGGTAAGATCCTGGGCATGCCACTTGTCACCTTGGTCTACCCCTATATTAATACGTCTATAGCAGAGTAGCATGGAAATGTCACGGAACAAGCAAACTTTGTCCGTGAATGTGCCAGAAAAACAATGTAGGAAAATCCTTCTCCACAGAGCATCACAGCTTTCAAGGTCTATGTGGATGCCACCACACCAACTCCTACATTGATCTGTTTAGCCATTCTTTACCTTATTACATGACATTGCAGCTTGAAGAGTGTGCTTTTACATGTCCATCTGAGAAGTAACAATTTGCAATATAACGCTAATAAGGCGGAGCAGTTTGTATCCAGATGCCTTAGTTGAAATTTTTCATTTGGAGCCTGTATCAGGCAGCCCTGTTCATGTGAACTCTAGTCCGAGTTGGTCAGAATAACAGAAGCAATTCCCAGCTTCCAGAGTGTAGCCGGTTTTCAAAAGGCGCCTGACGTGGTCTGTCAGTCTCATCTGGGTTATCCGTTCATTGGACTTCTTTTTGAACTGGCCTTTGATGATCAGGACTATAAACAGAAATGTCAGTTTTGCCCATTTCCAGCTAGGGAAAATGAAATTATGACCTCGGCTTTATCTTATTTAATGTGTTATCCTAAAAATACAAGCTCACTCGGCTGGGCAACTAGAGGCACATAGCAGCACCCCCTTTGTTCATAAGCTAAAGTGAGATGGGTCCTAAAATCCGGTCACGTTCGGCTTCCTGCAGGGACGTTCCTCTTATGAGCAGCTCTGCCTCCCTCGGTGACTTCAGTTCCTTGGGGTGGCGGGGACTCCACTTCATTTAGCAGTGGAATCTCCTGAAAATAGATGTTGTGGATTTGATGTAACAATCACTTTTTATATTTGTATCGGGGAGGGGCGTGGGAATGGGTAATCTGAGGCCGTGGAATTGGTTTTAAAGTGTGGGACAAGGACACTTTGGAGGGTTGCAACTCGCAGTTGCTTTCCAGGAACCATAGGGACCTCCATCTGCATTTCTGGGGCACTCACAGGTCAGAGCCGGAGGCGGTGTGTTTGGGATGGGTGGTGGTTAGTTGTTCTGCCGAGAACGCTGGGGGCGGGGGGGGGGGGCAGTTTGGGAGACACCACAGAACGTGTCTGCCGCACTATGTGCTTGAGAGAGCTGCTGCTTTTTGAATTCTACATTTTGGTTTTGTTTTTTTTGTTTTCTTATTCTCTTTAGATGATCACAGTAGAGTGAAGTTAAGACCTTTACCAGGAAAAGACTCTAAGCACAGCGACTACATTAATGCAAACTATGTCGATGTAAGTCAGAAATGTTTTTATAAACCTATCTTTGATCACTGAAGGGGGCCCCGGGGACTTCTGAATGTGTCTTAGTGATGCATGGAGCTTTTGCTAAAAACACAGCCTATTCAGTACGGACGGCGCTTGAATTATTAACTGGTCTGTCATTCTGCTTGCATCTGACTGTGCTGTGTCATCTTCGAAGGGTTACAACAAAGCAAAAGCCTACATCGCCACCCAGGGACCTTTGAAGTCGACATTTGAAGATTTCTGGAGGATGATTTGGGAACAAAACACTGGAATCATTATCATGATTACGAACCTTGTGGAAAAAGGAAGAGTAAGAGCCTCTTGGCTTAACATCTTAATCCTGTATCCTTGTTCAAAAAACACGTGTATGAAGCACCTGCTGTAGGGCGGGAACCTGACCAGGCGGAAAGAGTACCTTGCGTGTGGTCTGGTGGGAGGGGCCCACGCGACAGGGACGGGCAGGGTGCTGGGGGATGCTGTGCCGTCTAGTGTCGGTGTTTCCTCAAGAAACCCGTACTGGCAGTGAGATTTGGACAGAGTTAGGAGGAGAGTTACACGGACTGAGAAGAGCAGGAAGCCGCCCGGTCAGGACAGAAAGAACAAAGCGGGGGGCTGGGAGGAACAATCAGAACCAGCGTGCAGGGCAAGGAAGGAGACTTGCAACACGCTGACCTCCCTAAAACCCTTTTTTAGAGAAGATAATATTTTAGAGTGTATTAGGTAATGAACTTACCATAGATGACACTGATTTAGGCTGGAAAAGGGCTAAGTTCCAGGTCTGTTGCTCAGTCCCTGCAGCGCCCTTGGTGGCCCAGCTGTGACGGCGGCCCAGCCTCACCTCAGCTCCCGTGTAACACGTCCCCCCCACGTCCCCCAGCTCCAGTGTAACACGTCCCACCCACGTCCCCCAGCTCCAGTGTAACACGTCCCCCCCACGTCCCCCAGCTCCCACACACACAGACCCCGTGCTTCAGCCCACCCTGTAGTGTATGTGTTGGAAGGTGACTGAATCCTAGGCTTACTTCTCGGATGACCTGGGCCAAGCTTGTCCCAAGAGGAATCTCTTCAGGGGCCGTGCCTGCCCGCAGCCACGCCGCCCAGGAGTCCCCTTCTGTCAACAGTGTGGCAGTATTACCGGGTTTTAACCCTGTCCTTTGAAGGTGCATCATCAAACAGTATAATTATGGCAAAAATTCTAGTTTCAATTTACAATTGTTTTCTTTGTGCAGCGAAAATGTGATCAGTATTGGCCAACAGAGAACAGCGAGGAGTATGGAAACATTATCGTCACACTGAAGAGCACAAAAGTTCACGCCTGCTACACCGTCCGCCGCTTCTCGGTCAGGAACGCAAAAGTGAAGAAGGTACAAGCCGCTGGGTGAAAATGGCCACCGCCGCGGGCCGTTTGCACAACCAACTTGGTTTCTTAAAAAAACACAACTCTTTTGATTGACATCAGTGTATTGTTAAAAGACACTGGTGAAGCACGCATTAGAATTTAATTGGCCTGACCGAGTTCTTGAATCTGTTTAAGAAGAAGGCTTCATTTCAAAAAGGGCCTCTCAGGTTTGATAGCCAGCTGGGAGCCCAGCATCTGGCTGTTGAATTAGTTCTTTATTTCCAGTTTTCTGACAGCTTTAAAGCAGTGCTTTTCAAAGAATACCAAGCCTGCAAGATGCTGCTAGAGTGTGGGAAGCTAGTGCCACAGAGTACCTATCCCCCCTTAGAAATGTGCGGTGGGCACGGGTGTCAGTGCCCGAGCTGAGAAACCTGCTTGACTTCACCCTGCCGTTCCCCGGTGGGCTTCACGAGACCCTGTCCTGTCGAGCGCGGACCATCCTGAGAAGCAAGGATGGAAATGCTTTCACGTGACCTCGGTTTCTCGTGTTCAAACTCCACTGTCCCATCAAGACTCACAGATCAGTAAGCAGTACTCCGAGCTCTAGGCCGATGCTCATTAAGGACGTGAAGTTGTTACTCTACAGACTTAGGATGGCAGCTGTTTGTAGCAATGGGCCTTGACTTTTTTTTTTGGTCTTAGATTTTGAGAATGTGATACAACTGTAGCCCCCTTACTCCAGAAGAATTCATTCACTCAGATTATTATATACAATTTCAATTGCTCTGAAGCCATCTTGTGGTCCATGGTTAACAGCCCTTTCTATGGATAGTTTGTCCCAAGAATGGCGGAAGCATATACAAATAAGGAGCCCCTACCACCTGTTCCCTGTACAGAACGGAGCGGGCTCAGCGACCCAGCCGTCGGTGCAGGTGCGCAGCCCACTGCTCGTGGAAACCCTGCAGGTCTTCACACAGCCGCCTGCTCCTGTCTTAGAAACAGCTTGAGTCAGAGGAGGAAGCACATGAGAACTTACGGTGTTTTGCACACTAATGAGAGGATGAAGTAATAACTGAAAGTGAGAGTTAACAGAAGGAGTAAGAAATCAAAGCCATCCAGGGTCTGTGTAGCACAGGGCCGAACCCTGCAGGCTTCAGTGCTGATTTACTCATGATCCTGAGTCATCACAAATTTTTTAAATTCTTAGAGGTATATAAGAAAAGATATTTCATCGCAGGTGATCTGTCTGGGGAAATTTTTCATCTAAAGTAGTTAGAAATGGAAAAGGTTCAGTCATCTAAAGGAAACCACTCTGAAAAGTTCACTTATAAAAGTGCTACTGGTTGACTCTAGACAGCCAGTTGTCACCTAGGGTCTCCCACGCGTCCTGCAGCTCAGAGCAGCCAGCACTGGGCCCCGGAAGGTCCGCCTGGCGGTGGAGAAAGACGGGGTCAGGGCCCACGGTCAGCTGACAGTGCAGAGGCCTTCTGGGGGCAGGGCAGGAAGTCAGGAACAGAGGCTCTGCTTGGTTCCAAATCCAAAAAACTGATTTTAAATATTCATTCTTGGTACAATCCCAAACCGTTTTTTTTTTCTAAGCGGTGTCTGCTACCTCCCGTCCAGCTCAGAAAATGTCTCCATTTAGGGCATCAGATGAGACAGGAAACCACCTCGCCAGGAAGTCATTAGGGCGAAGGAGCCCAGAGGTCCTGTCTCCTAACATGCTCACACCGTTTTTACCCAGAATGTTCACACAGCCTAAAGATGCCTTTTCACCTTTGTCACAGGGTCAGAAGGGCAACGCCAAGGGCCGCCAGAATGAAAGGGCAGTGATCCAGTACCACTACACGCAGTGGCCGGACATGGGTGTGCCCGAGTACGCGCTCCCCGTGCTGACCTTCGTGAGGAGGTCCTCGGCTGCCCGCACGCCGGACATGGGCCCCGTGCTGGTGCACTGCAGGTAGGGCGCGCGGCCTCCTGTGGCTGCTGCCTGTGAAGTGGGCTGAGCAGGGCTTCTGGGCCTTCGGAACCGGACCACGAAGCCTTACTACTGTTTTGTTTGATTTAGAAATTGAGTCCTTTGTTGAAAATAACTATATTCCCATGGTGTTAAGAAATCACATGCTGCTTTGGAGGTTAAAACTGAATCTACTCTTAGAGGATGAATCTCTAGTTTTGTTTGTATGTTTGTTGTTTGTTAATCCTCACCTGAGGATATCTCCATTGATTTTTAGAGAGAGAGGGAGGGAGAGACATCGATTGGTTGCCTCCAGCATGGCCAGGGATCAAACTTGCAACCCAGTACATGCCCTTGACTGGGACTAGAACCCAAGACCCTACGTCCACTGGCCAGGGCTGAATTTCTAGTTTTTATAACATTGACTTATCATTAATAAAACCTCGATTGTGTACAGGGATATTGCAGGCTATTCGTAATGTGTTAAAATCTGACCTTCAACACATGGTTAGAGCTTTTTCCACATTAGAGATTGAGTTTTTATATGGCTTTTCTTGTGGGTTGCTTGAAAAACTAATTATTGTATAAAAGGATTTTATTTTCCAAATTTTAGTTTATATATAACCTTTTTTTTTTTTTTTTTTGTGGTACGTACCTCTAGCAGGAACCAAACCCGGGACTCTCTGGTCCTCAGGCAGAGGCTCAACCGCTGAGCCAAACTGGCCAGGGCTGAATAACCTTTTTAAAAGCATTGGGAAAGCCTTCTGCAAAGCCAATTCTCTCTCCTTAACTCCCTTAAACAACCTTAGTTGGTTTTAAAAAATGCTTTTATTGAATTTTGTTTGTAATTGTATTCTTGCCCTTTTTTTTACTCTGGTATTCAAATAGATGTTACTTATTCTGGAATTTAGAATGCATAGCTAATCAGCATTTGCAAAGTACTTCCTTCCTTGGGCTGTCCTTTGCAGAAATTTGAACCCACCTTTTGTTTAAAATTCCATGAGATCTCTGCATGTTTGCTGACCCATTTAGGAATCACTAAAGTAAGGATAGATGTCTGTCAAAGGGCTTGGGTATCACAGACTTTGGGGGCGGGGGTTCTGCCAAAAGCAGCTTGCTGTTCAGTACTATAGAATTTAGATCTTCCTACTCTTGTTTAATAATAATTTAAAAATGTGAATAAGAGGTCAAATTTGCCAGATGACTTTTTTTGAGAAACATTGCTCAGCTGCCTCCTGCACGCCCCCTACTGGGGATCGAGCCTGCAACCTGGGCATGTGCCCTGACCAGGAATTGAACCGGCGATCTCTCAGTTCATGGGACAGTGCTCAGTCCACTTAGCCACACCGGCTGGGCCAGACACGACATTCCTATTCTAAACCCGGATTGTTAAAGGAAAGCACCCCTTTAAAGGACTTCAATAGGGCAGAAAGGGGATCTGTTGAAAGGGTAGTGGGCACTCCCAGAATAACTAGGAGAGTTGGAGCACCGGGCACATGCCCGAACAGCAAGGGAAACTCCCTCCGGATGCCTCTGCAGACGCGGCTCTGGTGTGGAGATGGCTGAGAAAGCTGGTACCTAACAGTTTTCTGCAGTGCCTGCGGGACAGAGGCTCCCCATCAACACTCACGAAGTGGGAAATGTCCTAATAAGGTTTTTGGATGCTATGCAGCATGAATAACCTGTCTAAACAACAGGGTTATTTAGGCTCCTTAGCAATTGAGTTGGTCGTTTCCAGTCCACATGATAAAGCAAGAAGCACTAGCTGCGTGTCCTCATTTCTTCCAGCGCCGGCGTGGGCAGGACAGGCACCTACATCGTCATCGACAGCATGCTGCAACAGATAAAAGACAAAAGCACAGTGAACGTCCTGGGGTTCCTGAAGCATATCAGGACACAGCGTAACTACCTCGTCCAGACTGAGGTAAGCAGCCTGCCAGGCACTCGGATTCCGGCTCAGTCTGTAACTGGGAGCTGAATGATAGGAGACAGATTTGCACTCTTACGGCCTGAAAGAATTCACAGGTTTGTATTAGAAGATATCGTGGCCGTGATACTCTTCTTTGGCTCACAGTTTTCCATTTCTGTATGGATCTTAAATTTGGAATTCTCAACAAGTACACAAGCACTTACGTAGCCGATACAGTTGGATTTAGGGCTGTGTTTGATGCTATGGGGAGTGAGAAAAAATATATAATGTGAGACTGGTCCTAAAGCCCTTCATTGAACCTACTGTTTGGGGCATGGTCTGGAATATGGAACTACACTCAACACAGTCTCGACCCTAAGGTTACAATGGATAAGCAAGTAAGTGTTGGGCAAACCACATAGCTGTGACTGCTTGAAGGAATTCACTGGGAGGTCACTGTTAGGGGAAGAGGTCATCAAAGGTAAACTTTATGGATGGGCTAGAGGTGACTACCATATGTTGCATCCTCTAGGAGCAGTACATTTTCATCCATGATGCCTTGTTGGAAGCCATTCTTGGAAAGGAGACGGAAGTATCTTCAAGTCAACTGCATAGCTATGTGAACAGCATCCTCATACCAGGAGTAGGAGGAAAGACACGACTGGAAAAACAATTCAAGGTAGTGTTTTGCATAAATTTCTTTGGGGGGAAAAAGCAAGGAAGTAGAGAAATGCCTTAGCTTGGGGGTCATGTCTTTTTTGCATGAATGTAACAGACTGAAATGGATGCTATTTATACTCAATCTGAAGGCATGGTTGGTATGCGAGTGGATAGGGTGGTGTATTTTCTTAACAATTTACAACTTTATCTGAACATACACATCAGTCCCTGATCACAATGACTTAATGCTTACAGTCAAACACTATCCCCTGCATTTTTTCCTGAACTAATCGATCTTATCCTTGAGAATGGTTCTTGTTGACGTATTGTCCTAAAAAATAAAGCTATTTGAAAGAGTCCTTCTAGCAGGTAATTTAGAAACTAGAAAAGAGTAACTAAATAATGCGAGAGAAAAGTTAACTTTTCCTAAACGGTTCTTTTCCCTTAATAGGGGCATGAAGAAGTTTAAAGGCAGTTAGGGTTTATATGGTATTGACTTGAAGTAATGGTGGGAAAAAGGGGGATTTATTATAACTTTCAAATTCTATTTTTTTCTTTTTTGGCACACCGGTCTATGAGATGAATCTATAGTGAGAAATTACACATTCCACCTGGATACAGTTTTAGTTTTCACAGTGAAACTTCCCATAGCCTCTGAATCTCAGCTGAAAAGGAGACAGCCAAGCAAATTGTAACAAGTGGTCTGAAGTGAAAAAGATTAATTTCACTGAGTTCAGTCATAACAATTTCATATTTCTAGCTCTCCTTCCCCGACGTCAAAACTTCTCTAAAAACCATTTGAGGTAATTAGTCTCATTTCAAATGTTTAAAATAAATTCTTAAAAAATATTAAGTACCAAGTACCAACATTTCTTAAATTCTGCCTGTTCTATTTCTGGAAGATTTTATACATACCTTTAAAAAAATTCAAAGAAATCAGTTTATTCCACTTGGAACCAGGTAATTGGTCCCTTTACAGACACTAACCACTTTAGGACTGAATCAGAAACTTGATGGCTACATCCGGGGTCTTGGACATCAGTGCTAAGGCATTTGGGAAGGAGACCGTTCTATGTACTCTTAACATGGGCCAAAGTGTATGAATCTGTATATAGAATTGACAGAGCAGTTTGACCAATTTATATAAACAGGAAGACTAACCAAACTGTTGGGCTAATTATTTATAACAGCTTTAACAGAATGTCAGTTCAGTTCAACAAATTACTGAGAATTAGTCAATTCTTTAAGAAACACGATTAGCACTTACTACCCAGTGTTTTGTAGTGTAGCTCTGTGCCTGAGGAATTCCAAGAAAAAATGTCACAACAGCAATGACATCAACGGAAAGATCCACGTTCATTCTGTAAATATCTATCACTCACATGGTCCTATCACAAGGGAGCAGAACACCTGATGGAAGAAATACCACTAGTGAAACATGAAAAATATTCCGTTTTCACCCCTCAGTAATCGGATTATCAGTGTTTCACCCCAGGTCATCAAGCAGATGCTATCAATTATACCTTTTTGGTTGTTTATTTTATTGTTTTTTTTCTCTGTTTGTATGGCTATATAACACTGTATGCTTTGATGAATGTATATGTTACGAAATGATCATCAAAGTAAGGTTGGCCAGCATGCCCACTGCTCCCTCTGCACGAAGAGTGACCGCTGGTTTCCTTTCAGCTGGTCACGCAGTGTAACGCCAAGTACGTGGAGTGCTTCAGTGCTCAGAAGGAGTGCAACAAGGAGAAGAACAGGAACTCCTCCGTCGTGCCGTGTAAGCCTGAACAGCAGTGACTTGGTCGCGCGTGTTAGTACCTTTTCCAGTGGACACTGTGTGTCACGTAGAGGCAGCCACCCCCACGGGGATATGCGCAGGGCGACAAAGTGGTGATCAAACTGGGAGGGCCGGCTGGCAGTGCCCGCAAGTTGCTGCACCAGTGTGGCGTGAACTCTAGTTTCAGCTCACCTCAAAATTCAAGAATTAGGTTACTTTTCTTTTTTCACCTTAACTAAAAAAAAAAAAAAAAAAAGTGAAGTCATTATCCATGATCATTGTGGTATTAACTCTCCTTTAAAACTTGGATTCCCAGATTAATCTGTACAATGTTAACTATGCCCTGAAAGTACTCTGGCTATTGAGATCAAAGCAGGCTGGTAGGCGGTGACCTTTGTATAAATAACTGGGGACACAGCGAGGGTGATCACTGGAGAGATTCCTGGCAAAGGCCACTGTGTTTTAAGCTCTGCACGGGGAGAAGAGATGTGGATAAGGGGTGGGCAAAAGAGCAGAGTGAGATACAGGGGTACGATTGTAGGCATGTCAAGCCGGAGGGTGATGTAGCGAAACCGCTGTCATCGCTGCACAGTGATCTGGAAGCCTCTCCCACAGTAAATCGTGTTCCTCCAAGGCCCCGGCAGTGCTACTGAAACTTCTCTTCACACTCTGCCTGAGCTGGTGACACTGTAGCTAGGCTTAAAATGTAGGTAGGTCTTAAAAAGAAAGGGGAGCCAGGGGAACAGATGACTCAGCAGACGTGTTTTGTTTCCCACGTGACAGCTGAGCGTGCGCGAGTGGGCCTCGCACCGCTGCCGGGGATGAAAGGGACGGACTACATCAATGCGTCTTATATCATGGTGAGAGTCAGCCGCCGGTGCGGACCAAGTCGAGTAAGCTGAAAGGGGCGAGAGCGCAATACCACCTCTGTGCCCACTTTCCTTTCCCCATGTGTAACCTCAGAGTCACAGCGATTTCCATGTCTGGGAACCGCTAACAAAAGACACCTAATCATTGGAGGTACAGAAATGCCTAAATTAAGAAAAATGCTTGTTAAGGAATTAATTTTATTGTTAATTTCACCCATCAAGTCTTTGAGTAAATGTTGAAATTACTGTTAAGTAAAAACAGCAGGGATAACTGGAAGTGCACTGTACATGGAGAGAAAATTATCTATACGTGTAGTCGAAGTGCATCTAAAAATTAGCCGAATGCCTTTTTCAGTGATTTTACTACGGTCAAACAATAGTCTTATTTCCTGAACATGTTTTACTACTGCAAAGTTAGACTAAAACACTCATAATCAATGATTGTCTGTCTTCCTAACTGAAGGGCTATTATAGGAGCAATGAATTTATCATAACCCAGCATCCTCTGCCACATACTACGAAAGACTTCTGGCGAATGATTTGGGATCATAATGCACAGATCATTGTCATGCTGCCAGACAACCAGAGCTTGGTGAGTGGAGCACACCTGCTGTATCTGAATGAGCCCGTGAGCATGCAGTACCAGGCTACCTGGCCACAGACAGGACTAAATATAGAGTCTGTAGATGCTAGGGAGGGAATCGCACCTCTCATTTTGAAGTCTCTATAGAGTCCTTTTGTAGACTGCAGTTACCCTCCCTGTCCGTTCTATTACTTGATGCTCCCGTGCTGGTGATAATCGCCCCTCTGTGGTACAGTACCTGACAGTGCAGTAGGAGGTTTTGAAGAAGGTCCTTATACTAACCTCATTAATGTATGGCCTCAACCTGACCTCTTAGTTGCTATATGTCACTTTTGAAAAATAAATAGTAATAGCAACTAACATTTGAGAATGTAACTACATTATTCTACCTGGTTTTTTTTTTCCTTTTTATTCAGTGTATTGAGGTGACTGCACATATTAACTTGTTCATTCCCCTTTACAATTTTATGACATAGGTACTATTATCTCACTTAATAGCTGGGTAAACTGAGGGAAGTAACTTGCCCACGGCCATGCATGAATAATCAGTCACCAGTTTCCTGAGCTCATGCTTCTAATCATTTTTGCTATATGTCCCACCCACCAAAAAAAATTATATCAAAAGTAATAAAAGCCCTACCCCGTGTGGCTCAGTTGGTTGAGTGCTATCCCATGCACTGCAAGGCTGCCGGTTCAGTTCCTGGTCAAGGCACATGCCCAGGTTGAGGGCTCGGTCCCCAGTAAGCAGTGTGCAGGAGACAGCCAATCAATCTTCCTCTCTCTGTGAAATCAATAAAAACATTTTTAAAATGGACAATTATTTATTTAAACAAACAAAAGAGGGATAATAGCACATTATTTTCCCCTCTGCCACAGGTAAATCAGATCCATTACAGAAGGAGATAAGGAACATATTTTGTTCCCACTTAAAGGTGTTTAAGAACTTTACCAGCTACTACCTCTTTCTCCTCCCTTTAGTCCTTCTCTGTTGAGCTCTCTAAACTATACAGGAGAAGGGTCAGCAAACTTATAAAAAGCTTAAGTGTTTGTGCTTAGATCTGTTTCAGAATTATTTGGGTACAAAAGTTACTGGAAGGACATGAAGTCAGAACCAAAACACAATGAGGATCTGCCTGCCTGAGTGTGATTGGTGAGGTTTTTAATCAGGAAAGAACAGCGTGTGATTGAACCTAGTCCTGGTGACATGCCTTTGACGATGTGCCCAGGCAGTAGGAACTTCTCCACTGTCGCATTTTGCTCCAGCTTCAGAATACCAAGGCTGCTTCTGCATGATAGAATGGAAACAAAGTTAAGAATCTCAAGCTGAAAACGGGAGTGTAAATTTTCAAATTAGCTGGCAGTAGGGGTCTGTTCTGTTGGCATGAGGAATTTGGAGGCATTTAGGGTTGCTAAAACGTTCATTTGTTGGATGAGTTAGTATTTTGTTATTGTCACTTAACAGAAGACGGTCACCAAGCATCTACCCACAAGCTCATTGGTATGGGGAGGCTGGACCCACAGTCTGCAGACAGTGAGGATGCAGGAACCTCCCTGGACCACATCATCCGGTGTGGCTGAGGCCTAGGAAGGCTGCGCTAGACTCACACTTGTCTGCGCGCTCAGCTCCAGGGTCAAAAGTCAGATTCATTTATTGTAGTTTTTCCTAAAAATAACGTTTCTGGATTCTATGTTTGCTTCATTGTTTATTGCTACTATAACTTCACAAGACCACAATTCTGTGAATAGCCCAAAAGTCACTGGTTCCTCATTCAAGAAGCACTGTTAGAGGTGCCTAGACATCTTTGATCTAGATAAATGTGTTTGTCAGCAAAGTACACACGGAAGCAGAGTGCCTACTGAATCAAGTAGCAGCATTTATTTTTCTCAGTCTTTCAAGATGATCAATTAGTCCCTAGCTCACTACCTGTACTCAGAAGTTTCTCTCTGCCTTTCTTCCACCATAACTGAATCCCTTTGGCAGTCTGTAGACCAACTCGATAATTAACTATTCATGTTATCATGAAAGTTCTTTGAGATAGGTAGTTTTACTATTCCCACTTTGCAGTTTAAGGCTCAGATAGATTCATTTATTCAGGATCATGTCCAACCCTAAATCCTGTGCATATTGGTTAAATTTCATGGTCCTGTCCATCATTAATTACCTTTTTAATTTACTCCCATTTCCTTGGACGAAATGTATTGAAACACATGACAGTTACAGACTTCTTTTGTATAGCCTAAACGCAATTGCTAATCTGCTTTCCCTTATGCTGAGCTTTAAAAATAAAAATGTACTTGGCAATAGCTGTATTGAAACTTGAAAGAGTGATAAGTCTTATTGGACTGTTGGCTCATTCCTAATGCAACATTGTAAGATTAAACAAAACCCTCTTTGTTTTGAACACTATTCAGAATTATTTCTGACTTCGCAGTATCTTAGCATTTTCAGGAAAACGCCCATAGAAACATAAATTACAGGCAAACTTTAGTTTGCTGTTTGAACTGATTAGAAAAGGGAGGAGGGCTTCTTGTCAAAATCATTGTATTTCTCACAAAGTCTCCAACCTATGCAGCAATTACCATCCTTTAGGCCTCCACAGTTTTCAAGAGTAGAACTCAACTCCCAAGCCTGAATGTTTACTTCTAAACAGATGAACATTTTAAAGCTTGCCTGATTCAAGGCTAAAAGACTTTCTATGTTTTCTCCTTTGGAAACCTAACATACTAACTTTTCTTTTAAAGAACACCTTGTACATACAGCCAACATGCTTCTTTATGTACAACTTCTTTCCCTTAACATACGTCAGTGTGATGCTGGACAACTCCCGCACCTCTCTGAGCCTTGGTGTCTTCGTCTGTGAAGGCAGATCATAAAAATCCCTTACCTCACTAGCATACTGTAAAAATTAAATCAGATAATGTTATGAAAGTCCTTCAAAAATGCTGATCCATAGGAAATAACAATTAGCATGTCTTAGTTGCTCAGGCAGTTGTGAGTACTAGGTTAGAACTGACCTCAATCCCATCTCCACGACAGCACTTCTCAGCTGCAGGTCATATGTCCTCCTGAGGTGCTTTTTAGTTGTTACAGTGAGAAGTGCTAGAAAATGGCTATTATCACGTGTATACAATAGAAGACAATAAGTAACAAATGAACTCGACATGATTAGGTGAGGGATATAATTCTGTGAACCAAATTTAAAAGATGACCCTGTGGTCCAGAGAGACCCGGGTTCGATTCCCGCTAAGGGCATGTACCTCAGTTGCAGTTTGTCCCCGGTCCCGGTTGGCAGCCACTCGATGTGTCTCTCTCTCCTTCCCCCTCTCCCTCCTGCTCTATCTGAAGATGAATGCAAAAATGTCCTCAGGTGAGGATAAAAAAAAAAAAAAGATGACTTGAAAGGCATATCAAACATAAGTCATTTTGCAGGAAAGTTCATAATCAAACGTCTGACAGCACTGCAGAGGATTTTACTTATTTGTTTGGGTTCTCATAGGCAGAAGATGAGTTTGTGTACTGGCCAAGTCGAGAAGAATCCATGAACTGTGAGGCCTTTACCGTCACCCTTATCAGCAAAGACAGACTGTGCCTCTCTAACGAAGAGCAGATTATCATCCATGACTTTATTCTGGAAGCTACACAGGTAACGAGCCCCGAGTTCTGGGTAACAGCTGTATCTCTCTGGACCCTGGATCATCCTAGGTCGGACTGAAGTAATTTACCACCCTCAAGGCAGGCATTCAAGTGCGACTTCAATCTGCACACTCCTCCTTTTTCCTTCCTCCAAGTATTCGCTTTCCCAGCTGGATAGGTGAAATGGAACCAGCTCCCCGATTGAGCCCACATACAAATATGTCTGTCGACATAATTATAGAAAACAATATACTAGAGCTCAGTATTTTCCTTGCCATTAGAAATGTAAAGCTTGCAGTGTGCTGCAGAGATAAGACTCTTCTGGTTACGCAGCATTTTGATGCCTTCCTATGGGGCAGGTAAGGGGGGAGCTGGCTTACATCAGCAATCGAAATGCTCTCCTAAGCCCTTTTTTTTTTTTTTTTTAAGATCAGGCAAAAATTTCAAGTGACAATTTTTCTTAACAAAATCGGATTCTATTTCACTGTGATGAGCTGCTCATTTTCTACGGGCAGGCCGGCCTCCCTAGAGCTTCAAAGCGCTCCCCTCGGGGTCTGTAAGCCAGCCTCCTCGGGCGCAGCTCCAGTCCTTGCAGAGCGGTGAACTCTTGTTTTCTCGGTTGTAGGATGACTATGTCCTAGAAGTTCGGCACTTTCAGTGTCCCAAATGGCCTAACCCAGATGCCCCCATAAGCAGTACCTTTGAACTTATCAACGTCATCAAGGAAGAGGCCTTAACGAGGGACGGCCCCACCATTGTCCATGATGAGTATGTATCTGCTTCTGAAGTTTAAAATGCACACGTTGTTCCTGTTGCAGTGGTCTCGCAGTGAAAGGGGAAGACAGATTTTGGAAACCTATCCTTCTCTCAGCTTATGATGCTTCTATGTCATTTCTAACGTGAACTGTGCAAGGTGGTGTGGTCTGTCCGCACCTTGATTCGATGAGCCCTTTAAGGCTTCATGTTTCAATAACCCAAACTAATCAGCTAAGCTATTAATTATCTATATTGATTAGTTACATTTATTTCAACACTCCTACCCTGACTTTTAATGAACACTTAATAGGGAAGAAACCTTTTTAAATATGAGGTAAACTATTAGAGTACTGCCTTTGGAATTTAAAGGTAAAGAATGTACATGTCAGAACAAGCTCTAAGGTACAGCTCAGCCCCTTCCACTTTAATAAGAGGGAAAGAGTCATAGACCTAATGGTGTCTGGAGTCAATCGACCTGCAAATCAGCTGTACAGAACCTCACCAACCTCTAGCTAACATGGCACCTATTACACATCCTCATCTCTCTCAGTTCCCAAGTAGCTAGCTTGGCCAGCAAACTGTCAGTGCATCCCTTATGGCCATTAATGTACCAGCTACTTTAAGAGCATAGGTATTAGTAAATGCGAAAGGAAAGCTTGGCATCTATTTCCTGTTTGGGGCCTACGTCAGCACCTTCACGCTCTGTTTGACGTAAGCCGCGCTGCCGGCTGCTCCCCGAGGACAGACTCGGGCAGAGCGGCAGCCGGACTTCGAGGGGAAGAGCTCCTGTTACACGGCACACCAAGCGAGGCCCCTGGAAATGTGAAAACCACCAAGAGTGTGTACATAGCCTCAGAGTCACTGGGTAGTTGCTGCTGGCTGTGAAGCTTTAGGGCAGGCAGGCAGAGCATGGATTTAGGGCTGTTTCTTGAGGGTTTTATCTCCCCACTAGAGTGAACCAGATTTTTAAATTACTTCTGGGTTTTACCATCTCCTATCAATTCAGACCAAATCCTACAGTTGCTGCCCAAGTTCTGTGACTGATTTGGCTGTTCTGATAGTGCTTCAAGGAATTTTGTCCTAAAGTCAGGAACGCAGTTATTCTTGTATTTCATGGGAAGGGAAGGAAAAAAACATTGCCTAGTTAAACAATTTAACAGCACTATTTCAGTCACTTATCTACATTCAGCGATTTTTATTTTATGCCACATGTTGAATATGTCACCTCTGGAATTAATCAAAGGCAGCTGTTCTTAGGCCTAAATTTTTTTTTTTTTGCTACGTGCCCCTAGCGGGAACCGAACCGGCCAGGGCATTAGGCCTAAACTAGTGGGCCTACAAATATCATACAGGTGAGCTGGATGGAAACCATCTAAAGAAGTGTGTTCGTTCATTTATCCACCATCATTAGGGGATTCCATAGAAATTACTTATCCACATTACTCAAGAACAACTGTAAAATTTTAAACAGTTGCTAGCTCTAGTGCAGTCCTCTGAAGGCAAGTTACCTTTCAGTTTCCTCTTACCTACTGTTTGTACACATCCTGAAGGGATATTTATAGGGACAAACACCCCACGTGTAGCTAGTCTGAAACCCGAGCTGCCGCCTTTCCCTGCAACTACCATTTCCTCAGAGCCCACCCGTTCGCCACACACAGGTGGCGCTCTGAAACCACCGACCGCGTCCCAGCCTACCAGTGCCATTCCTGTTTCTCATAGATCGTAACTCCGCGTGACTGGCACCCCCACACTGCCGAGACTAGCAGCGGCAGCTTCTCATCCCAGTCTCCATGGGGTGCAGCCCAGCGCCTGGCATGAACCGGTGATGGGCTTCAGAGTGTGATGAAATACATTTTCAAGGCTGAGTACCCACATGAACTTTCCCCAGAGCGCTTGCACCTTGTTTTTTGTTGTGTTTGTCATTTTGCCTGCTTAAATTCTGTGAACTACAAAGCCAATTTACAAAGTTTTTAAAGATCAAATTAGAAGTGAGCAGACTTGGAGAGAAGACCTGAGTGTTTCCACGCTAAATCAAGAGTTTAACTTTTAGTACACAAATTTCGTGAAATCTATTCGGTCTTCACTGAGATCTCTGTGACAGCTACTTCCAGGGTCCTCGGCTGTGTGCCTGTGGATGAAGTCTCTAGATAAACATCTAAGGATAAAATTCCTCACCAAAAAGTAAACTGATTCTATTTAAGGACAGACACTGCTTGCCCTGGCTGGTGTTGGTCAGTGGTTATAGCATCGGTCCACACCCCAAAGGGTTGTGGGTTTGATTCCCGGTTAAGGGCATGTACCTGGGTTGCAGGTTCCATCCCTGGCCGGAGTGTGGGAGTCAATGTGTCTCTTTCCCCATCTCTCTAAAAATCAATGGGAAAAAATATCCTCGGGTGAGGATTAACAACAAAAAAGCAAACTGCTTTATTCACAACATCCTATATTCATCTGCCTAAGACAGTTCTGGTCAGAGGCTGATCTGTATCATGCAGCTTCTACAGAAGAAGTTGGAAGAAAGGCATAACTCTTACACCTGGGAAACAACAGGTTAGGCCTTCACTCACAGAACAGTTTCCAGCGCAAAATACCTAATGTTCATTCACGCTGCAGACACACCTGTCGCCCTACTGGATATCACAGAAGGCTATTTTTGTATATCATGGTGCCCTAACTTCGTTGAACAGTTCTCAAACTGGGCTCTAAGGACACCTGGTTGGGGGAAGGCAGTCTTCAAGGCCCTTCCAGGAGATCCAAGAGGTCAAAACTATTTTCATAGTAATGCAAAGACACCGTTCCAGAGCCAGAGGGTCTGGGCTGACCTCTGGGCTATAGTAAATATTGACAGATATAATCCAAATAAGCAAAAGCTCTTTGGAGGTCTTCAATAACTTATTCTAATTTGGTCCTGAGATAGTCTCTGGGGGTGCAGAAATACATGGTGTGCCTTCTGTACCTGCGGCTGCAAAGACACTGTCCATAACCAATTCATTGAATCCTCAAGTTCACCCTGCTTCACAGCTGAGAAAACAGTGAAGCGAAGGAATAGGGCCTTTGTGCACATACAGTTATTCAAGTGTCAAAGCTAAGACCAGCTACATGATTTGTGGAGTCCTGTATAAAATGAAAATGCCAGGAACATTTGTCCCAAAATTAAGAATTTCCCAATGGCAACAACAGAGCAATCAACTTAAGGGCAGGACCCTTCTGAGAGGGGATCCAGCAAAGCTCGGGCCCCCAGCTGCTCAGGCGGCAAGCACAGTGAGACCCGGCTCTGCCTGACCGCTGGCTCTCACCTAAGTACCCCTGCACTCATGGCTGTCATTGTTTCAGATAATGGGGGGTTTTCCTACTTTATTTTCTCCTTCACGTCCTTTGGAAGGCTTCTGTATTGCCATTTTCCTTCTTGCCCTAATGCTTTCTAAAGGGAGCATCACTTTCTTCACAGTGACAGGACTGTAACTCTGGATTAAATGGCTAGTTATCATTTTAAACTATATCTTAAAAGCAAAGCTAAAATAATTGTGAGTAGGTATGACCTAGTAAAATATGATTAAATGGGGATGTAGACATACTGACTGTACAAGGAGCTCCAGTGTGTGTTAAAATGCACATGGGCAGAACACTTGAAAACACCGCACTTTCATGATTTCTTTGAGGCTTAGGCAGGGAAAGATGAAAATATGGTTTGGTTTTTCTTAACAGCACTAGTTAAAGGAGCATTGCTTTTGAGGAAGTGGAAACAAACTACCAGTGACTTCATGCAACTGCTAAAAAAGAACGGCCTTTTTTCTCTTTTTTTCAATCTTTATTCTTTCATATTAATGCTTGGTTTGAAGAAGGTACTTAAAAGTGTCTGTGCATTTGATGGATTTAACTTGGTTTCTAGTCAGGTTCAAGGTCTTGTGTAGGTGCTTCCTTTTAATTTAGGTTCTGATTAAAGAGTAGCAAAATATAGGAAAGGCCAGAGTCATCCCACATGGAGTGCACACTACCTAATAAAATACCTCATACCTGAGTTTTTTATCTGAATAGCTATGGGTAGCTTTAAGAGGAAAAAACAATCTTGAGTCTCAGTTTCTCTAGAACAGACTAGCAAAGGTTAAATTCTTCCCTCTTGAAAAGCCTCAGTACAACTTAGTATCTGAGGAAACAGCAATCATAACAGGGTTTTAAAATATTCTTGGAGATCTAAAGGAAGTCTGTGAAACGAATTACAAACATGTGCTGTGTATCAGGAACAAGTTAGAGCCTAAGAAATGGAAAATTAAGCCATGTGCTGGTAGTAGAATGGACAGAGCTGACATCTAACCAGGATAAGGAAGCTACGTACAGAAGTTTTAACACATGTCTAAGAGGTGATACCATGGAGAGATGAAAGAGGAAGAGATAATGGCTGAAATGCTATGAGCACTGAATAAAAAGCTAAATTCTTAAACAATGATCAAGATACACTGGAACAATTACTAAAGCTGATCCAATAGTGGTTTATTTAGGTAAATTGACCATAAATAGAATTTCAGTACATTTTTAAAAAAAATGATACCATGTTCATGGATAAGAAGAATTCACATCATTAAAATGTCCATACTACCCAAAGCAATCTATAGATTCAGTGCAATTCCTATGAAAATACCAATTGTATATTTCACAGAACTAGAACAAATATTCCAAAAATTTATGTGGAACCAAGAAAGACCCCAAATAGCTACAGCAATCTTAAGAAAGAAGAACAAAGTTGAAGGGATCAAAAGAACAGGCATACAGACCAATGGAACAGCAGAGTCCAGAAATCAACCCATGCCTTTATGGCCAGTTAATATCTGACAAAGAAGACAAGAGCAGTGGAATAAAGACAGTCTCTTCAATAAACAGTGTTGGAAAAATTAGACAGGTATGTGCAAAAAATGAAACTAGACCACCAATTTACACCATACATGAGAATAAACTCCAAATGGACAAAAGAATTATAGGCAGTAAAATCTCAGACATCCTTTGCAGCAATAGTTTTGTCA